ACTACAAATACCTCACACAAGTAGATGCATAACCTGGCCAGCTGGTTGATATTGTCCTACTCCTCCCCAAAATCATTCTCTTTATCCAGCATTTTCTGCTCCTTGTTTCCACTCATTTCTGCTGTCATGAGTGTTTTATCCCTCTGTTCTGCTGCATCCCTCATATCTAAAGGCTTCTTGCTGTCTTTCTCTCCATCCCATGCACACTCTGAACACCTCTTACTCTCTTAATCCTGAATCAGCTTTGTCATTTGAACTTCAATAATCTCACTTTCTTACAAAGGAAAAAAACAAAAGATTGGAGAAAGACTGAGAGAAAAAAAAAAACAGAGAAAAAGAAAAATATAAGTTCTCCTCACCTACCAGGCACCAGTGGTTCTATTCCAAATCCCAAAGATGCCATGGGTTTCAGAAACAATATCTTTTGCAGGATATTTTTAGAAAAGTACTCCTCTGCTTTAAGTGGCACATTCAGCCCAAGCCAGGGGAGTATTAGCAATACCTGGGCCTTCAGAGAGTTGGCCAAAAGTTGCTGCTGCTGAAAGCTGGAGGGACGTGGGTGCCTTCCCAAATGGCACAGATTCCCTGAGTGCCTGAGCCTTTCCTGCGCTATGGAGTGGTAAGTCATGTGCCACGAGCAGCTGACAGCTGCCAGGGTAGCACTCTGGGTGCTGGGGACGTCAGCCTGCCCAGCTGCTCCTACAGAGGTTGATAAAAGAACCCAAAGCACGTCCCATGTGATCCTTCAGTGCTCGACATTTCTGTTCTGACACATTCCTGGGGCTGTGGGCGGCAGATCCAAACAAAATGATGGTGCTGTTTCTTAGCAGCCGTATCATTTTGGTTGCTTCTGAACTCCTGGGTGCTTCTATTTCTCAACAGAAGATTGAGAAATTGTCTTCTATGTCTCAATAGAAGTGTTGTTATTTCTCTCTTAAAAAACAATGGAAGTTTTGTCTTGTGACCACAGCAAGCCAAAAAAAAAAGGAAGCATAACCACCACTGTGCTTTAGAGGATCCTCCCACTGATCAACTACTTTAAATAAAGCTGCAGATGCTAATCATCAGCTCAAAGCTTTTGCAGATAATGAGATGTGCTGTACAGGTAGTAGAGATGAACAAAGCCAGAAATTCACTTCACTCAGATCCTTTATAAAATAAAAAGCAACTCCTAACTCTTTCTATTAAAAAGATTCAGTGTTCCAAAGTAATTAATCTTGTACTAACAAATGCATTTTGATCTCAGCTTCCCATGAACTGGGATATGTATATGAACTTGCACAGAGCAAGGGATGAAACCTTTTGAGGATAATTATATTTTTGAGACAATTAAGGAGCTATTCTTCAAATTCCTCAGCACCTCATTCCCATTCTCCTTCCCTCTGTCTCTTTTCCTCTTTGTTAGAGTAACAAATTTGGCACTTTGTAGCCTGCTTCCTTCCACTGAGACTTCAGAGCTGCTTTCACAGTGTGATTGCCAATTGTCAGTCTAATTTGTCCACTCAGATGTAGTATCCTCAGGAGCAGAACACTGCTCATGCAGACACATATAAAGAACCCATCCTAAGCTTGAAGTTATCCATAACACAAACCTACATCCCTCTCTATTTACTTCATTTTTTTCCCAGTGCCAACAAGATTAAAAAGAGGGTTCAAAGCCATTGGCTTTAATGCAGAAAAAGCATCATGCTTTGAGAAGTATGAAAAGATGCCCCTGCATGAACAAATCATTAATTCTTCAGCCAGATGTTTTACATCAGCAAGGAAGAGGGAAAAGGTTCCTATCCACTGCACAAAAAATTCATTTCAATGTGTAAGTGATCTGGCTTGGATAGGAGAATGCTACAGAAGCAGGAAGGAAAAAAATCAAATCGGAAAAGAGAAAAACAGGAGAAAGACACATGCAGAGGAAATTGGAAGCTCTAAAATACATTTCAAAAGGCCATCTCAGTGCTGGGTAAATGTAAAAGAGAGATAGATGAGATCATGGTTTCTTGCAGGTGCAATCAGATAACAAATCACTTGGTCTTATCCAAGTATAATGTAGTATAATCCAAAAGATTTTCTCCTCTTATTAACATAATATTCATATAAAGAAATTGTGTTTGTTGAACTCATTAGGATGTTTTTGCTTAGAGTTATGAAATTCATTACATTTATAATCATTCACTGAAATTATTCAATACTGTGATGGATGCTCTATTACATACACTGAATAGTAATTCAATAATACCAGGGGCTTTGCTGTTTTATAGGCTTAGTTTAAGAGAATAATATATTCTGCAGAGGCTCTACATGTGAAAGAAGTATTTTTGCTTTCACTTGTGTTTGCCTATTTACTTAAACAACCCCATTCAGGCTCCTCTGAGGCTTTCCCAGGAGTATCATCTTAAGATGAAACTTCCCCCCAACCATACTTGCTTTTAGTCTAGATAACTTCAAAGAGATTTTTAGTGATACAGCAAAGTGATGTTGGGCTGAACTCTGGGTTCATTCCTTCTAGTTCGCCAAAACAGAGTTATGTAAATTCAGCTAATAAGATTATCCATCGAACTACTGAAGTTGGACATAGATTACAAAATCAGGTCATGCTAGTTCCAGGCAATTACTCTTTACATTTAATTTCTCAGTATTTTATTCCAGTTCACCTGCAATGTACTTTGTAAATCAGTAGAAGAAATTTTATTTTTGAGGGGGGTTTTTATTGTTTCTTTTTTTCCTGTATTTGTTTGGTTCTTGGGAGTGTTTTCTCCTGAAAATTATCACAGACCCATGACACAGTGAAGTGAGACAAGGTAGCGAATCTTTCTGGGACTAAGAGAAAAATGCCTACAGTAGTTCCTACATTTCACATATGTCCAACTGCCATTCTCTTTTTCTGAACAAATTTAGGGGTCCTTTACAAGAGGAAATTAATGTTTTGACATTCATGGGTTGTCCAGAGTAACTTCTAAAAGTACTGAAAAAATGCCATCAACTCATTCACAATCCCCACAGTTTGTGCATTCAAAACACTTGCTTATCTCCTGAAGTAGTATCTGAGCAAGATTAACAAAGGAGCAGATATTTCATGACAAGGTTTTATTCACCTGGGTGTCCACTGTATCTATTGCTATTCCATAAATTATTCATATAAAGGTTTTAATAGCGAGTTTCATAAGTAATTCATTTGTATTGTTTTCAGCTACTAAAAATGGGTTAAAGATATAAGCATTTGTATGCTAAATAAGTCCACAGGTCAAAGTGTAAATACAGGATAAGATTTTTCACACTTTCTTCCCATTCATTCTGTTTTCTCCCTGGTATTCAGAGACAAAGTGACGCACAAAAAAGCAGCACCTTTGGTATTTTGACGAGCTTTTTCTTAAACAGCTTCAACTGCTTTCCCTTCTATTTCATTTATTTTCTTTCCTGTGATTTAATTTCTTTTTGCTGGATGAGAAGCATCCAAAATGATGAAAGATGAAGCATGAAGGAAATGCAAAGTGAAAAGAATGAAAACCTGAGTGAGGCTCTGGCAACACCTAGAGGGGTCAGCCCACACTGAGAAAGACAACTCAGATCCTTCTTCAGATCCTTTTTCTTCTTTAGTATAGGACAAATAAGCCAATGTCTCTGAATCAACTTGCCCATCTAAAAATGGGTTGGAATTATAGAACCTAATAATTCTTAATAGATTACATGAAAAGAAAACAAATATTCTAAATAGAAAAATAAGGCAAATATGTTAGCCAATTAATTGCAACTGTTTAACAAAAGAGTGTGTGAATGCTTGAAATGTAACCACTGCAGGTCATCTATCCATTGCTTCAGCCAGGTAAGCAGTGTTTCCTCATCAGCCTCTCTAAATCCAATGGATCGACAGTGATGTCACTAATATCTCTAGATATCACTAATATCTGTGTACCAGACAAGATGCATCAGTCAGGATGATTACACCTCTCCCAGTTGTTTAACATTATAATAGGAATAAAATCCATGTGGTGGAAGACTAACATCCTTATTGCCTGCAGTATGAAAATCAATGTTGTTTTTTATGGAACAGGTCCTGCACTCTGCCATTCCCAGTCTCAACAACGTGCCATCGGTAACCTTAAGTCCATATTTATTTTTCAATAAAACCCTCTCTTTCACTGACAGAAAAACAAACGTAAATTCAACAATGTATCTATGTAGGAGAAAAAAAAAGATTATGTAACACACACCATATTCCAACCTGATAGAAGGTTTTAGTCAGTCATAATACACAATTTTTTTAATCACTATTTTTCTATTTGCTTGCACATATGAAAGGCTTGAAGTTTCCCTGTACCAAAGAATTATTTCTACAATCAGAAAGGAGTTCAAGCCCTGTGTGGAGACTGAGTCATCATTAGTGTTTACAGATATATCAAAGATGTGCAGTAAGTTTTCTTCTGCAGGGTAGAAGTGCCAAGAGGACCTACAATGCTTCTACTTTGTGTTAGAATGAAAAATAGTTGTTTGAAATTCAATGAAGCCAGTCAATCTACTTCAATTTCATAGATATTCTTTTACCAGAAGTTTAAATGAATTCATCCTAGATGAGGGATCACTCACACCAGCCCAGAACTGAGCTAAACCCTTTTTAATAGCAAAACAGTCATGTAGAAAGATAAGTCATCTACTAAAGAAAAACTCCTCAGGAATTGCGTTAAGGCAAAAATAAAGAAAAATAATAAATTTAAAAATGCTCTCTAACATTAAGACCAGATTTAATTTCATATTAATTTGATGTCATTTAATATGAAATCACTTTCTGAAAATACATGCAGATGTCCTTAGCAGTGAGTTAGAACAGAGTGGAAGAGAATTCCTGTCTCAGCATCAAGAAGTAATTTTACTCATTTGTTTTAGGTTTGTTTTTTTTCTTCTTTTAAGACTGCAAGAGAACAGTTCTGAAAGGCTGAGAGAGCTACTAAAACTGAATTACCTGTGCACACAGAGGGAAGGAAAAGAAAGGAAAGAAGGTTGGTCCCTACCATCTCCCACAAATTGAAGGAGGGCCAGATCAATTTGTCTCTTCCAAGGTGATCCTTTCTGAAGTGCAATTCCGTAGCCGGTAGTGGCAAAGATGTATCCGCTCCCTATTGTGACAAGTTTGCAGCCTTCATCTCTTCCAGCCTTGTAATTCAGCACTGCTGCATCATAGATGAAAGCATCCAACTTCCTGAAATAAAAGAAAACATTTTACAAACCGAATCATTAGGGACAGCTGTTGTCAGACTTCTTTTGTCCTTGATGTTAAGACCCTGTTGAATATCATATGGATTCTTTGATATCATTAATTACATATCCTGCTCTGCTGTATCTAAAATTACAAAAGGCATCTATTTTAGTGAGGGGAAAGTAGGACACATAGTTTTGCATTTCTATTTTAAGGGATGCTGTTAAAAAAATACCGAGCAGGAGAAACCAAGCTACAAAATGTCTTGCCCTGTTATCTTTCTATCTGTGTTCTCAAAATGGGTAATAAATATCTTGAGGTGCAAAATGATCTCCAAAACCAACACAAGTGATAATAGAGAATTTAGAATTGAAACAACAATAACCAATTAGTTTATTTAAATTACTGAATGAGATTGAAAACGTGAGTTCACCAGTCTTACACACGTGCCCTTATTTTACATCTCTTTCCAAAAATAAACAGTGAAGGTGGAGGTTAAGTCCTTGATAAGACACATTCAATGTATTCAAATATGCTCCAGTACTGGAGCATATTCAACACAGCTATCTAAATCCTGCTTTAAAATTATATAAAATATTTCTTTAAGATTTGCAGTTCCAAACGTATTATTGTGTATCTGGAGCACAGCAGGAACAAAGGAACCTGTGAAGAAGTTCCAGCCTTTCAGCCCATCTACCTAATAATGTAAGAATGGGATAATCCCATTTTCTAAAGAATACATGGAACAAAACTAAAGACAGGAAAACAAATTCAGAACTAAAAAATACCTCTGTCTATCTCATGTAAAACCAAAAGAAATACCAGGAGAGAATGAAGTTGTTGGATTTTTGTCTGCTGTCCTGAAAAAGTGAAGAGTGAAATTCCTGTCACTACTCACTGTACTTTATTGCTTCCCTTCAAGGATATTTGTCCCAACACTCACCATTCAAGTAATCAAATTTAGTGAAGTAGTTCATTTAGAGAAGTACAGGTGGCTCATGCAACCATTAAAAGAAATAGTCTGGCCATAATTTCTTTTGCTTTTCCACTCTTCCCTAAAACCCATTTGGTACAGTCCTCAGCTTAAAAAGCAGATTAGCTCCACAAATGCTAAAAATATGCCTCCCTCCTTCCTTTAATTGGGAAAATTTAACAATGCAGAAAACAATCACTAAACATCTGGTAGGTGATGTCACAAATCCAAACCCAAAACGAAACATGGATGGCCCTGGGGTAACTAAACTGGAGGTATCCAAGAGGGCCCTGGGGCATGGCCCAAGCCTGCAGTCCTCAACACAAGATCAGGGTTTTCTAAATGATAGCCTTTGATTCAGCACTTCAGAGACAATCTTTGCTTGTGTAGAGAGCAAAAGCAAAAAATCTATGTCCTTGGGGTAGGCTCACAATGAGAAAACCCCCCACAAACGTTCTTGCTGTACCCTTGAGATACTTGTAACTTCTCTGATCGGCAGCAGACAATTACTCAAATCAATACAATCCATCCTCACACTTTGAGACCTCTGCAGTTACCTGTAGGGAAGGAAGGACACTTCCCCTCCTGGTGGATGCCTACGGCTCAGGCAAGGGATTGGGAAGTAACGGGTACAGACACTGCTGCAAGCAGCCAACCTCAGTTAGAACACACTCTGGAATTTGTCATCTGTTTATTCTGGGATTTATAGTTTTGCAATGTAAGCACATAAAACACATGCTGGCAAACATAGAGAAAATATAAAGAGTCAGCTATTCTTCTGTCAAAACAATCTCAGTCAGAAATACAAAGGAAACAGATCTCTTTGCTAAAGGCTCCAGGGCAAATGCCTTGTGCTACCTCAGAAATCACACCCTTCACAGGCAGTTTGCCTCCTTAGTCACTAAACACCGTAGCAAAACCTCGGGACAGAAAGACAAGGCTCAATCACAGTTTCACTCACTCGCTGTGGAACCACAACCCCAGTTTCCCAGGAGTCTGGCCATCACTGCAGTGGGGTACAATGAGGAGAGCAGGGTCTGAGGATGCTGAAGGCTTTATTTTGGGGGGCTTTTTCTATACTACTTCTATAAGGTCACAATAAATCTCATTATGCAAATCAATTTAAGAACACGAGGCACTTTCCTGACAGATAGTGAGAGCTGAGGGTTCAGTTGCTGCCCAATGTCTGAAGTATAAATCAAAAAGTTGATTGCCCTGAAAAAAGTCTTGGTGTCTACAAACTCATATTCAGAATATATATTCCCCATTTCCAACATAAATCTTATGGCCTCTCAAGGCTCAATTATCTCTTCATCATGTGCTGATTACAGAAGTACTGTTCCTGCAAAGCTTCAGAACATGCTGTACCCCTGCAGCGTGGGCAGGGAGTAACAAGCCCCAACTGAAGCTCTCAGATGTTTAGGGCACCCAACTCTTCCATCACCAGTAGGTGAATTCCTGACACTCCAAATTTTTAACTTTCAGATAACTTCAAACATTTTTCAGTAAGCGTTTCCAAAAACGAAAACAGCAAAATCTGGGCAAGTCCAGAAATGTGACCCTTTCCGAGTTGTCTGCAGAGCTGGCAGCGAGCACCAGCTCTGGAGGAAGGCAGGGCTGTGCACAGGCCAGAAGGCTGCTGGGAACAGAGAGGACTTTCCTTCCTGCTATGTCTGTGTGGGGAAAGCCACAGCTGCTGTTTTGCTTGGCTCTGATGGAAGAGCCAGGCTGTGTGCACGGCAGGGACTGCTGGACACGGGAGCCCATCCTTGTCTTGCCGTTCTCCAGGCAGGACTGGCAAGCCTGGACCTCCAGCTCTCCCCGTTCTTTGTTCTTGTGGCAGCAAAACTGAGCTGTGCGACACAAGTGAGAAGCTTTGCAGCGCTCTGAGTGCTGACCACTCTGTGCTGGAGCTACATCCTCACTGCAGAACAGCTCACAGGCACCCGGCACAGCCCCCACACCCAGGGAGGCTCAGAGCCTCCTGCAAACCTTAGTCACCTACAAATGAACCAATTAACTTGTCACTTCGGTGCAGCCACTTCAGGGAGTGAAAAGCTTTGTCACACTGTGTAGGTTTAAATAAACTGGTAAGAATTAGTAGAAAGCTGAAGGAGAACTATCAGGACTGGGATGCAGCAAGAGACAAGGTTTATCACTGCCCTGAACTCATCAAACACGCCAAGCCCCTTCAGCCAGTGCAGAGCAACTGGACCACAGCGCTGTGACTCATCTGAGCAATGAGCAGGTTTGCAAACTTCCTCAGAACTCCTGCAATAATCCTGGCTAGGAGGAAAAATAAACAGTTTGGAATATTTACATAACAGTGACTACAAAGGCAAATGTCTTTCATCACGTAGCAAGCACCAAGAGGAAAGGGGATGGGGAGAATTTTAGCTCCCACAGCATAAGAGAACATCAGGTGTTATAAAATTATGAATTGGAATAGTCCTAGAAAAACTGAAAAGAGCATTAGTGAATGTAATAATTTTTAGTGGGAGATCTGTGAAGAGACAAATGTGGACAGTCTTGTACCTAAACATTTATGAGTCATCAAGAAGGATAAGAGTTGAAAAATCAGAATAGCTATTGCAAAAACCCATTCTCAAGCATTGCTGAACACATTCAAAAATGCCTGTGTAGAAAATTAAAGGAAAAGGTACAGAAAAGCAATTTCAGAAAAGCTGAAATCACTTCCCTATAATTTTCCCCATCTTTATTTCTCAAATTTCTATGATGGAAACTGAAAAGAAGGATTAGGAAAATGCTCCTCTATTAGTCACTTATTCCTCAGCAACTGAAGTATAACTTGGCTGGAAAATGTTCCTTTGCTTCCTTAACCAGCTACACAATCCTTCAGCGATTTTGTTTTCTTGAGGGAATGAGAAGGAAAACTGTAAAATGCCAATGTGCTCAGCAGTTCTGGAGCCACAAGAAGCAATCCAGCACATTAGAAATCCATCTCTTTCAGGTACTTTGCACCCTGCTGTGCTCGGAAAAGGAGAGGTACGTTCAATGTAGTCCTGTTTATTCCCCTTCTTCTGTTTCGCTGTCCAGCATTGGAGTCTATGGAACAAATAATATTGTGTTTCCCTTGAGGATCAGAGAAACTGGAGCATGACTGAAGTTGCTTTCCAGTTTTTAAGTGCTGCAGTAACTTCAAACATACAATATCCACAGCAGAATTAATTCCTTGCTGAAGTGGTACCGTTTGGAGCAGTATTCATCTGTCAGATCCAGGACACTAACTTTAGAATCAATTTTTCCTCTCTCATTTCTTTGTGTCTCCTAACACCCCAAATATGTTCTTGTCACGGCCAGACAAAAGCTGTGTATTGTTACCAACACAGATTTGGCTTACACAGACCAGGATGAATGTAATATAGAAGTGCACCATCACAGTAAGGTGCTTGCACTGCATTTGGCTGCAAAATGCTGTATTACAATGATTTTTCTACATTATTTTTGATGAAGAGCGTCTTGCAATTCAAATATGCACCTTCTGGGGCTTGTTCTGAAAATTTAAAGGTCAACTGCATATTTAAGAATAATTATTCATTATGAATTACACAAATTCTATTCTGAGGTAAAGACAGTGAATGAAATCAGACCCATTTTTGAAATTTGCCTGGGTGTCTTAAACTAAGAGATGTCATTCCTCAAATCTGGTTGTAAATAAATGCAAAAGAGACTACAAAGATTATTACATAGTAGGTGTCATCTGCTTAATAAGACTCCAGTTGTGTCTCTTGAAAGCACAATATTTGAAATTACTGTCTTATTGCAAATATTAGACTGGAAGCCTGTGAATCCTTGAACAATATTTTTAACACCACCTCCCCTCTTTAACCCCATCATCATTTAATTTTGGAGAGACACAGCTCATTTTCAAAACAGTCTGCAAAAGCCTCTACTACTTTTCAGCTTTTTTTGCTTTTAAAAATAAATTTCATTGCCTTACATGACCCTTAAAGTAGCATTTATAATTTGGTATTAGGCCAAAAAAAAAGTGGTATCCACTTAAGGCTGG